TTTCTTTGGCCCCTCAGCTTCCTCAAGCTTTGGGGGTAGGTTTGCATAGGCCTTCTCACCGTGGAACACACAGGGTCAACTATAAGAGTTTTGGGGAAAATACATGCCTTCTTTGTCAAATAACTATTTTCCTTTTGAGAAAAAGACTTGGCTTGCTACTGGGCTATAGAAAAGACCGAGTGCCTGATCAAGGAGACGCGATTACCATGCAATCTGAGCTGCCCGTCTTGGGCCAGATGTTATTTGGATCCATTAAGCCACCAAATCAGGTTCACCAAAGATCCAGCTGCACTGGAGACTCTCGGCATTCAGGTAGGTGAGTTGACATGCTCTGTGGATATAAGTGATAACTGTCCCCAGCTGGCCCACTGCTTGTTCAATGGGCTCGTGGACACAGACACCATGCAGGGAGGGACTGAACTGACCCATGTTTTTAACAATCTGGACTTCTCCTCCCAAGGCTGTCCGATTTTTTACCAGCATCACCAGCCAACTCTGAGTCTCCCAAAAAGTACCAAACTCATGGGAGGTCCTAGAGAGTCACCTGAAAGTAGATTACATGACCTCTCTAATCACGGAGGATACCAGCAATTTGTCTTCATTGGAACAGACAACGCTTCTGAACTTGGATTGACCTTCCTTGCCCACCATGCCGGCGGAGCTATCATCCTTGGACTTTCTTTTCTTTTTTTTTTTTTTTTTTTGAGACAGAGTCTCACTGTGTTGCCCGGGCTAGAGTGCCGTGGCGTCAGCCTAGCTCACAGCAACCTCAGACTCCTGGGCTCAAGCGATCCTCCTGCCTCAGCCTCCCGAGTAGCTGGGACTACAGGCATGCGCCACCATGCCTGGCTAATTTTTTCTATATATTTTTAGTTGTCCGATTAATTTCTTTCTATTTTTAGTAGAGACGGGGTCTCGCTCTTGCTCAGGCTGGTTTCGAACTCCTGAGCTCAAGCAATCCGCCCGCCTCGGCCTCCCAGAGTGCTAGGATTACAGGCATGAGCCACCGTGCCTGGCCCCATCCTTGGACTTTCTGAGTGCCTTGTTCATCACCCCAGTGTCCTACGCAATATTGCTTTTGACTAAGGACCTCACTTTACACTAAATGAAGAAATGAAGTGGCCTAATTTCTGTCCGCCAGTGGCAGCTGGCCTTATAGAATGTTGAGAGCACCAATTGCAGACTTATGTGCCTGCAGGAAGACAGTGCCTGGAAAGGTAGTGTCACTGACCTACAGTACATAGAATCTCTTCCGAACCCAAAGCTGACAAATGGTGCTATCTGTCCTGCAGTCAGAACGCATGACTACAACAACCAAGAGAATGGCGCCTCTCACTAATACAGCCAATGATTTACTCGCAATTCTTTTCTTTCTGTTCCTTCACCTCTGGGTTCTGCTAGTTTGAAGGTCTTAGTAACCAAGGAGGAATTCTTCCACCAGGGGATTCAAGCATAGGTTTTACTGAAGTGGAAATTGAAACTGACATGGCCCGTTTCTTGGGGCCGAGGAATGAACACAGAGACAAAAAGACACAGACATACATAAAGACGGTACACGACTGCAGCCACTACAAAGAGACACAGACACACAAAGACGGTATAAGACTGCAGCAAACTTTCTTGCTGTAGCTTCTTTATTTATAACACAGCCTGTTTGGCAACTGTCCCAGCGCAATTTCTTTGTTCCCACACTGTCCTGACTCAACACGTCCCTGTTCCTTGTTGTTTCGTCTCCGGTGAGCTGATGTTTTCATCCTGAACTCTCTAGCCCTTACTGTTTTCAGATAAGGGCGCCCTGGAGTTGCGTTCAAGCCCCAGGAATATTCTGAGAAAAACAACAAGAAACTGTTCCCAAAGTGTCCTCTACAGAAACCATGGCTATTTCAGACTCCTTATGCAAGTGGGTGAACTACAAAAAGGAGTATTATAGTGTTAGCTGTGATGACAGAGACAACGAAAGGGAAATGGGGTTGCTGTCATATGGTGGTCAAAAGGAGATGAATAGACAAAATCCAGTCGTGGTCGTGTCTCTAGCTACTGGCACGTCCAATGTCAAACATTAACAACTCAGATCCTTCAGAAATGAGGGTGACCCCTGACTAGTTGAGATGCCTGAAGGGCAAGGGGGATTTTGTGACATGCATTAAAGAGTCATAAACACCAGTTATAGCTGTACGACCCGCTGCAAAAATAAGAACTCTAACTTCTACTTGTATTTTCTTCCTTGCAGTATCATATGTGTATATGTTAACATGTTAACTAATTGCCCTTTTCTTTCCATTCCTTTTCCTCTGCTACTTATTTTTTTTTTTTTTTTTGAGACAGAGTCTCACTCTGTTGCTTGGGGTAGAGTGCCGTGGTGTCATCCTAGCTCACAGCAACCTCAAACTCCTGGGCTCAAGTGATCCTCCTGCCTCAGCCTCCCTAGTAGCTGGGACTACAGGCATGCGCCACCATGCCCGGCTCATTTTTTTTATATATTTTTAGTTGTCCAGCTAATTTCTTTCTATTTTTAGTAGAGACGGGGTCTGGCTCTTGCTCAGGCTGGTTTCGAACTCCTGAGCTCAAACGATCCGCCCGCCTTGGCCTCCCAGAGTGCTAGGATTTCAGGCGTGAGCCACCACCCCCGGCCTCCTCTACTATTTTATATAGGACAAACTAGTGATGGATAACTCGATCATTTAGTCCATGAGACACAGAATACTGAGATCGGACTATGACAGAATTAGAGGGATGACTGTCATCCAGAGCTCCTGAGCTTGGAGCTCAACACAGAAAGTGACGACCTTTTGGGGGAAGGAGGGAATGTGTTGTGTACAAGGGACATTGCTTTATATTAAGAGGAAGCATCTTTATTGTATATTGCCTTTGTTTTCAGAATTGTGAGGATGGTAAGGAGCACATTTGACACCAGGTAGCCAAAGGGGCGGACTGTTGCAGACATTTGGCATTCTTTCCAGCTGCTTTGAAGGTGCTGTAAAGATTACCTGCTCTAATTACAGAGCCATTACTTTTAGCTGTGCACAATGCCATGTGGAAATAAAACCACCTTTCCCAATCTTTCTTGTAACTAGCTAAGGTAATTAAGTCCTACCAACGAGCCAAACGTGGATACATCATGTGGTACCTCTGGGAAAGCTCCAGAAACAGGAAAGGACAAGTACCTTTTATTCCTCTGCTGTTTCTCCTAAGCCAGCCTGGGATGCGGATACAATGGTGAGAGAGTCAGCAGCCACCTTCCATCATGAGGTGGTCTTGTGAATAGAGCCCATGCACAGTGGAGAAATATCAGAGTCTGGATTTCTGAAAACTATATTCCTTCAGTGTAATAAAAAGTATATAGATTTTTTTTTTCAATGTGTCAGAAGAGACCCCAGTAAACAAGGCATAGTTTTTTATCCTGAGGAAACGTGTTAACAAGTGGGAGTGACTAACAATTAGGCACACAGGTGAAGCACCCAGCCTGATCCTGAGTGTGGTGGCTGGTGTGGTCTGGAAGGGGTCTCTGCAGGAAGTAACACCCTTACCGAGGAAGAGGATTTGGCCAGCTGTTGGAGGAAGGGGCGGAAAGTTTTCTTGGCCTGGGGGACTTAAGAGATGTTAACACTGCTTAACACCTCTTAAGAGCTTACCTAAGGCAAGTAAACTGGGGTAGGACTTTGGACTTTACCCTCAGAACAGTGAGTAGCAAGTGAAGGGCAGTCAGCATGGCAGTTACAGGGTCAGATGTATTCTCTAGAAAGATCATCCCAGCTGCTCTGCGCAGAATTGATTGAGCCGCACCAGAACAGAGGTGGGGCGACCAACTGCATATTTTCTCTTGAATAGCAACAGGGAGAGAGAGGAAAAGGATTAGAAAAACTAGAGCAGGAGCTGGACACCAAAGGCACACTTGGCCCTGAGGAATCACCTGGAATATATTGGGAGTGTTGTAAACGCGAATCCTGAGGACAAGCCAGAGTGGATTCAGGCTCCTCCAGATCCTCTTTAGGAAAAAGAACACACAGTTAGGCACAAAGTGCCGCCTCCGGGAGCGGCAGTGACCCGCTTAGCAACAGCGAAAGAAGGGCTCCTGGGCGGGCGGAGAGACCACCTACGGGACGGGTTGGACCAGACGCGAGGCTGCACGCCGTCAGCAGCCCCGCTTCGCTCTCGAGCCGGGTGGGCTCCATCCACGGACCCGCCACCCGCGCGCGTCCCGGCACTGCCGCGTCGCTGGGAGGTGGGCGCTGGGCGCACGGCGGGGACCCCGGGAGAAAGCGGGGCAGCCTACCTCCGAGACCCAGGCACAGTCGCGGGGCCCGTCCGTTTGCTTGCTGCCAGTATACAAACTTGACCTCAAAAACACAAACCCAGTCTTTGGCATTTCTGGATTTAGAAATTAACATCACTCCAGACGCCGGCCAGCTCGTAGCCACAGAGCCGTCAAGTTTTATTTTTGGGGGGCGGGGGGAAGAACTTGCAATGTTTGTTTTGTTGTTCTTTTTTTAAAGAATTAACTCCTGCAAAACAAGTAATCAGCAGAATGAGAGAGGCTGGGAGCACGGTCCCCGGGACGCGCGGGGACGGGGCGGGCAGTCCCGGGACGCGCAGTGCGGGGGTCGGTGCCGAGATGGGGGTTGGGTGGGTGGTGCTGGGGCGCGCAGTGCGGGGGTCGGTGCCGGGATGGGGGTTGGGTGGGCAGTCCTGGGGCGCGCAGTGCGGGGGTCGATCCCCGGGTGGGGGTTGTGTGGGTGGTGCTGGGGCGCGCTGTGCAGGCTTCGGCCCGGAGAACTTGCCGGGCGGGGGCGCGCCGTCCTGGGGGCGTGCGGTGCGGGAGCGCGCAGGCCGGGGGCGCGCGTGGCGAGGGCGCACGGCGCCGGGAGAGGGGCGGGCCGCAGCCGACCGTGCGGGGCGGGGGCGCGCCGGGCGGGGGGCGCGCGGGGGCGGGCGCGGCGCCGCCAATCGCAGACAAAGGCCGCCCCAGTGAATCATGTGGTGCCGGGGGAGGAAGTGCGGCTTGTTTTCTTCCCTCCAGTCTCCCGGCTGCAGGCGGAGCGCGATGCGCGGAGACCCCCGCGGGGGCAGCGGTGGCGGCCGCGAGCCCCGATGAGGCCGGAGCGCCCCCGGCCGCGCGGCAGCGCCCCCGGCCCGATGGAGGTCCCGGTCCGCAATGACTCCCTGCAGCCCACGCTGACCCCGGCCGTGCCCCCCTACGTGAAGCTCGGCCTCACGGTCGTCTACACCGTGTTCTACGCGCTGCTCTTCGTGTTCATCTACGTGCAGCTCTGGCTGGTGCTGCGCTACCGCCACAAGCGCCTCAGCTACCAGAGCGTCTTCCTCTTCCTCTGCCTCTTCTGGGCCTCCCTGCGCACCGTGCTCTTTTCCTTCTACTTCAAAGACTTCGTGGCGGCCAATTCGCTCAGCCCCTTCGTCTTCTGGCTGCTCTACTGCTTCCCGGTGTGCCTCCAGTTCTTCACGCTCACGCTGATGAACCTGTACTTCACGCAGGTGAGTCGCGGACGCAGCCCCGCGGGCGGGAGGCTCCGGAGGGCGCTCGCCTGGCAGCCGCAGGGGCCGGGCGCAGCCACGGGGCCTGAGAGCGTGGAGGACAAGGCACTGGCTCTGGGCTCGTCTGAGCCGTGTCCTGCCTGCGGGCCTTTCTCTTAGGTAACCCCCTCCCATTCCCAAAAGTGGCGAGGAGAAGGAAGGCCACCGGTCACTCCCATCGTCCGGTGGGTACCGGGCGCCTCTCTGTGCGCGGGACGACGCAGCAGCGTCTGCACACGCCAGAGCCGGGACTGCTGGAAGCAGGGAGGCCTGAACGCTAGAATTTCCCCTCTATCCCAAGACACCTAACCCCTGGCCTGGGAAGGTCATTTGCGTGTTGGTCTCCAGGTTTGGGCCAAGCAGTGCCTTTTTTTTTTTTTTTTTTTTTTTGAGCGACGGCAGGGTGGGACTGTCCTGGTTTGGATGAGATGCTTTGCACCTTCTGTTTAGGAGCTCAACCGAACTGCGACTTACCAACTCATTCCTCCGAATTGCTAAACAGCAGTCTAGGGTAACACCCAGCCCGGAGCTGCCGCAACCAGAGATCAGGCGTACTGTCTGAGCTCATCTCACAGGCCCTAGGAAAAAGCCATAAAAGTTTACCGGGACTTTTTTACAGACACACTAAAATCATTTTACGAGGCACATTATTAATGAGAGCATGGGAGAGCCTCATGAAGTGACTGGGCCGCTTCTTTACCGGTCGGTGGGGGTTGGCTTAATGAGAGTACAGTAATTGTAAAGCGCTTTGCGCTTTGCAAATACTTTGAAAAGCATTGCACAGAGGTTTCAGAACACAGTGTTTTCCTCATCAATTCCCATTAGCTTTCCGAGCACTACAATGTCCATTTTCACTAGAACTCTGCCCGAGGGGAAGGTGCCAACTGTGTCACCTGGTGAGGGTAATTTAAGAGCTGTCTCATGAGCAGAGGACCCATGCAAGCAGGCGTCTTATTTCTTATAACAGTGTCTCTGGTTCTCAAAAGAAAGCGTCATTGTTTAAAAGAAAGAAAAGAAAAGGTAGAAAAAGAATCGCCCTGGTACAGTGGGGGCGACTCATTGAAGATTTGGAGCAGACACTTTTGGCTAAAAAAATAGCATGTGTCATATTTAGTTGATATCATAATCTTTTAAAAATGGGTCTTACAGTCAGAGCCTTCTCATTAAGTCCAGCGTATCAGCATATTTTCCAGTCTGAGAGTAATGTGTATTGTCTGCCCAAATACTGCTTTTAAACCTGCAAACCAGTTCAGGCAGTAGGCTGCATTGCAGACAGACACTGGGGCTTTGTCACTGAATCGAAATGGGGTGGTTCCAGCAAGATGCAAAAGTCAAGTAAGTTGATGTTACCTCGGGAACTTTGGCATTGGTAGTATTGCATATTGAGATCTTCATTCTTGTCCCTTTTTGAGAGAAAAACAAAAAGGAAAATGTAGGGAACTGCCATGGCACTCTGGAAATCACATGCACATTCTGAACTTAGAGCCGGATTAGGGGCAGGGCTACACATTTTCTGCACCATCTGCTGGTTGATGAGTAAACGCTGAGCAAGGGAAAAAGTGACCAGGCGGACAGAGCCACTCTGGCCAGGAGGCCCAAAGTCACGGCCCTGTCTCCTTTACAGCTCCCAGGTCAGTGGGCACCCCAGCAGAGGGCATTTCACCTGAGGGCACACTGGCTGGCAGGAGAGGGTGGCATCTCAGACCCCAGCAGGACAAAGTCATTCCTGGCTTCCTGACAAAAACTGTGATGCTTCTGGGGTCTTAGAAAGGGGTCTGCCCTTTGACCCCCAACCCAGCCCCTGCCTCCAATCTCCTTTCTCCTCACACTCATTCTCTTACACAGATTCTCAACCATTGCAATCGCCTAAAATGGGGAACTTTAGAATTGCTGCCTGGCGCCCCCCCCGCCCTTCTCAGACCAAGTAAATCCAATCTGGGGGGCGGGTAGCAGCTAACAATTAAGAAGTATGTACTATCTGCTGGGGACAGTTCTAAGCAGTTTGTATTATTTATTTTTACAACAATCCTCCAAAGAAAGTACTGCTGTTCCCATTTTGCAGAGAAGGAAACTGAGGCTCAGAGAGGTTATAAAGGACTTGCTCCAGGTCACACTGTCAGTGTATGGTGGAGCCAGGAGTCACACCCACATCTGTGCCTTGCCAGTGTGAGGCTTGTCCTTTACGGTACAGTATTGGAAATTTCTTACAATGGAATAACTCTCTAAATGTAACACCTTGTGTTCCAGGAGCTTGAAATTGAGTTGGGGAGATACAAAGTAAGCGACATAATTAAGTCACGATTCAAGGGATCGAAGCAATAGGGGACTGTAGTGGGACCTGCGTCCTCGGAGAGGAAGTGGGTCCCAAGGCTGGGTGGGAAGGAGGAGAGTGCGGTGGGAAGGCAGCAGCAGGCCAGAGGTTTGAAATTGGGAATGAACCGGAAGGGAGGTCCAGGAGGTGGAGGAAGCTTTTTTCTGTTGTTGTCGAGTCCTTCATGCCAGGCCCCGTGCCTGGGACTTAGGTACTCATCTCAGCCTCCCTGATGACCCATAAGGAGGGTACTGTTACTCTCCCCACTGAGGCTCTCAGAGACAAGGACACTTGTCCACGATGCCCTGTGTGGGGCCCCTCACTCTGTGAGGTGGCGTGGGTCGGTCCTGTCCCAGCTCGGCCCCGCTGCCCCCAGCTGACACCTCCATCCAGCGCGCGAGCTGCACAGTGGTAAGCAGCCCCACCCTCCCTCAGGCACACATCTTAGGGTGACCTGAGCATTAGACAGCCTCAGTGTGATTTACTTTCTTGCCAAGTCACTGCTTTTTAAATTCTGCTAGGCGAAGTCTCTCTTTCCACTCCCACCCAGTGACCCTTCAGACGGATCCTATAGCTTTCTAGTCATACTCAGTTATTAAATCTTTCCGTCCAGTTTAAAGCTCCTCTCCTGACCCTGTCCTGGGCAAGCCAGGCTTTGAGTCCCAGGGCTTGGCGTCAAGGGTGTGTCCTGCCCTGTGCTCTTGGCCTGTGCCCCTCCGTCTTCCTGGCTGGCCGGGGGAGCGACACGTTGTCTCATGGCTCCCAGCCTGTCAGCCTCTGGTCTCTCCCCGGCTCTGCCTCTGGGTGACTCTGCCATGTGGCTGTGTTTGCATGGTGGGCTCCACCTTCCTCCTGGCCCCCTCTGCCATCTCCCTTCTGTCTCAGTCCCTTCTTTGGTGGAGCAGCCACACGGCTTTAGGTCCCCTTTGTGACTCTGTTCTTTTTCTCTTGAAGCCCAACACCACGGAGGCCCTCCACTCTCCCTTGGCCCCACCAGTGATCGGCTGGGTCCCCACCCAGTGTCTTCTGGGCCCACCACCCTGGCCCCTTTCACTCTATGCCTGCCTAGGGGCCCTCCCCCTGCAGAAACCCCCGGTGGAAGCAGACACCACCCTCCAGGTGCCTGGTGCTCTCAGGCCTCCAGGGCACAGGTTGGCATCCAGCGGGACTCCATCTCCAAACCTGCTTTGCTCCAGTGCCTGTACCCGCTGGGCCTGCACGTCCCCAGCTCGGCAAGCATCAGCCCGGTGCCTTTCTTTGTAACCCCCGTGAGTGGTTCCCGTGTGGCTTTGTCCTCACTGACCTGGGCGGAGGTGCTCTCCTGCCAGCCGGCTGCTGACTCTTGCTGTCCGTCTCCACTCTCCCCCTGCTGGTACCGCCTGGGAAGGTGGGGAGGCAGCTGTAGGACTGGTTCTGCTAACCCTGCACGCCCTCTCTGTCGGTATCTACCTGTTTGGCCTCAGATCCTTGGGGCTTTTTTGGAACAGTGTTGTGCACCTGTCGTTGCCAGCTGTGGTTCCTTGTGCCAACACTGGGGTACAGCTGAGCTCCCACTCAGCTCCCTGCTGCACCAGGAAGTGGTAGGACCAAGGCCTTTGACTCTAGGGCCTGCTCTAAGCATCATGTCAAATTGCCTTTTTAATGGGGTGGAGGGTGGGGGAGGGGTACAGGACCCTGAAACCTGAGTCCTGCGGGGGTCTCTGCTCATGAGGAGTTATGGTGCCGTCCACCTCCATGTTTTAGGGTATAGGCTCAGAAGTAAAGGCAGCAGCTTCTGCTCCTGGGTGGCTCCTGGGTGGAGCAGGTCTGCGCACAGGGTGGTGTGGCGGGGGCTCGGCGACACCTGGGCAGCCATGTGTTCCAGCCATTCCCCTTCACAGTTAGCGGCCTGGAACTCAGACTCTTGAGCTTCCTGCATTTGGCTGAATGGAACAGGCTGGTTCAGCCTTGTCCCGAGCCCTGTGACAAACTCCTGCCATGTCAGCCGGGTGGTTCTCGGAAGGAAATGGAGAAGTGAGTCCTCCCGGTGGGGAACAGACGCTGCCATGGGAAATGAGAGCTCGCCACGCCTTAGAGGGCAGATGGGAAGCTGGCATTTATCAGGTCTGGCCTGTTCTGGAACCCTGCTAGGACTTCCACATCCCCACACTCAGCTGCAGCAGGGACGGTTTGTTGGTCATGTGCTGCTGTGAGGCGGAGCCAGGGGCTCATGCTGGGGCTTGAGGGTCATGGAGGGGGCCGGGGCTCATCATGGGCACTGGGCCGGCAAAGGCTTGTGAACCAGCAGCGGGAAGAGTGGGCGCAGAGCTGGTTCAGATCCTGGCTTTGCCCCTAGTGTGAGTCCCATGGCCAGTGACTGACCTCTCTGAGCGGAAACCGTAATGCTCCTCCCACGGGTCGGCGCGGGTTAAAGGAGACACAGTCTACACTGACTCCCTTTGCTCCTCTTCTGTCTTAGTTAAATTAAGGCTCTCACTCTACGTCTCCTAGCAGCCCCGAACCCAGGCTCTTGCCTAGACACCCAGCCACTGTCCTGAAGGTCAGGTCCCGGGGCTGGCCCTGCCCTTTACCAATGCACACGGTGCCATCAAAACGACTTTTGCTACCAAGTTAGAACTTTTGTGTTTGTAAAGTGGCAGTGACTCTTGGC